TTTGACCGAATAAGCTTTTTTTTTTTTTTGCTGTCTTTATATTTCTCTATTTAAAAATAAAGGTATACTCACCATACAAGTGGTGCTGGGATTTCTTCTCATTGGTCTTCCATAAATCTAAAACTGTTTCATTTAACTATTTTGTTGATCTTCCATTGTATGACTTGGACATTCATATACATAAATACATTTGTAAGATGCCTATCTGACATTTCCAATCCATCAAGATCATCAACTTTTGTTTGTTCAATTGGAACAACCAAAAATGACAATTCACTTGTCTTATTTTTAGACTTTCCTCAGTACCTTGGTGTTTCACCAAGTTATTGAAATTGATGAATGATGCAGAGGTATACACATGATTATTTATCACAACAACTTTCTCCTTGTGCTTCAGGATATCCAGTTCATTTATTTTCAAGAAAATTAGACCATCTCTCTTTTCTATGTTTCTGTATCAATTTGAAGAAACTGCTTCTAAACCCTTCACAATCAATGGAATTCTTGGGTTTTCTGATAGAATCCATCCAGACAAAATATTGGTGACTTTTTACTTTTCAACACCAGATATCACCATAGAATCAGATGCCAGTCTGGAAATACCACCACAGGAATCCGATCTTCCTATTAACTGTCTGGAAATATTGGAAGGAGCATTCATTCTAAAAGGTCTAGCAAATAAGGTAAATTGCTGCATCCTTTTACATATGCAGGCCAATACATAAGTGTTTGGGAGTCCAAAGAACATAGCCCGCATTCGCCCCTTTCTTACGCAAGATGCTACCAAGGAGCTTGTCCATGCTCTAGTAATTTCCCGCATGGATTACTGTAACCCTCTCCTGATTGGTCTTCCCAAAAGCCGTATTGCCCCGCTACAGTCTGTAATGAATGCTGCAGCTAGACTGATTTTCCTCTCTAGTCGGTCCTCTCACACCTCACCCCTCTGCCGGTCCTTACATTGGCTCCCTGTTGTGGAGAGAGGCACTGAGACTAGTGGTGTTGTGGAGACCGGCTTGGAGACTATGGTGAGGCCTAATAGAAAGCAGTTGTTGTTGGGGAATTCCATTATAAGAGGTGTGGAGATGGACAATGGTGGTCTTGTGAGGTGTCTTCCCGGAGCTACTGCTCACAGAGACAGGAGACGTATCTGTAATATTGTTAAGCAAGCAAAGCAGGAAGGGAATTGGATGTACTTGTCCATCTAGGGACAAATGACTTGGCTTGCAATGAGGTTTCAGAGGTTAAGGAAGTTTTTAGTGTTTTTGCCAATGATATACGGCAGGTTGCTTCCACACTGTCATTCTCTGAAGTTCTGCCTGTGCATAACACTCAGAACGACAGGCGGATGCGTATTAGGGACTTTAACTTGTGGCTTGGTGAATGGTGTCGGGAGCAAGGATTTGGCTTTATTTCTCATGGTAGCTCTGTTTGGAATGGAGATAAGCTGTACAAAAAAGATGGTTTGCATCTTTCTCAAAAGGGAACAAATGTTCTCAGTGAGCAGTTCAGAGGTTTTGCTAGGATGTATTTAAACTAGGAGGGGGGGGCAAAAGGGTGATAAAACATCAATCCAATTGTCCCCAAAACAAGGACAGAAGGTGCCTGTAGCAAGTGTGTTAAAAAATGATAAGCTTAGAGTCATGTCTACAAATGCTCGCAGTTTAGGGAATAAGATCCATGAACTTGTGGCAATAATGGCAACTGATAGTGTAGATTTAGTCGCTGTTACTGAGACATGGTACAATGAGAAAAATGACTGGGACATAGCAATACCAGGGTACTCTTTATATAGGAAAGATAGGGAAGGCAAGAAAGGGGGAGGGGTGGCCTTGTATGTGAAGGATAGCATAAAATCTAGCCTAATAAAAGTTAGTGAGGCAAACATAGAGTCCGTTTGGGCTACGTTAGAATTTGGTAATCACACAGTAACTCGTGTAGGTGTGATTTATAGGCCCCCAGGACAAATTGAAGAGTTAGATTATCTACTAGTTGAGGAAATAGCTAAAATGACAATGAAGGGGGAAGTTATCATCATGGGTGACTTTAATCTTCCTGATGTAAATTGGAAAACAAAATTAGCTACTTGTGCCAGGAGCACACATATTCTAAACTCCCTACTGGGATTGTCTCTAAAACAAGTTGTTGAGGAGCCAACTCGTAAAGAGGCCATACTAGATTTAGTGTTAACAAATGGAGATTTGGTATCAGATATTACTGTAGGTGAAAGTTTAGGATCCAGTGATCATCAGTCAGTGTGGTTTAATATAAGAACAGTGACTGAGTCACACCACACAAAAACAAAAGTTTTAGACTTTAGAAAAACAGACTTTTCTAAAATTAGAATATGGGTAGAGGAGTCATTATCAGACTGGAGCAATTTAAATGGAGTCCAAGAAAAAATGGGAATATTTAAAAGTTGCTCTATTGAAGGCAACAGAAAATTGCATTAGGCTTGTCAGTAAAAGCAAAAAATTCAAGAAACCACTGTGGTACTCCGCAGATGTGGCCAAAATAGTTAAAAACAAAAAGTTAGCATTTAGGAATTATAAAAAAACCCAGAGTGAGGGAGACAAAATGATCTATAAGATTAGGCAGAAAGAGGCTAAGCAAGTTATAAGAGCTTCCAAATCACACACAGAAGAGAAAATAGCACAGTCAGTAAAAAAGGGGGATAAAACATTTTTTAGATACATAAATGAGAAAAGAAAAGTAAAACAAGGATTAGTTAGATTAAAAACAAAAGAAGGAAGGTATGTAGAAGAGGATAAAGGTCAGGCTGACTGTCTCAATGAATATTTTTGTTCTGTATTTACAGAAGAAAATGAAGGAAAGGGACCTCAGTTGAGAAAAAGGATAAATGAGTCATTTATTACACGTGAGTTTACAGAGGAAGAGGTTCTATTTCAACTGTCAAAAGTAAAGACAAATAAGTCAATGGGACCTGATGGAATACACCCAAAGCTATTAAAAGAGCTTAGTGGTGTACTAGCAAAACCATTAACAGATTTATTTAACCAATCATTGTTAACAGGAGTAGTCCCAGAAGATTGGAAGTTAGCGAATGTTGTGCCCATTTACAAGAAAGGTAATAGGGAGGAGTCGGGCAACTATAGGCCAGTAAGCCTTACTTCAGTAGTGGGGAAAGTGATGGAAACCATGTTAAAGGATAGGATTGATGAACATCTAAAAACACATGGATTTCAAGATCAGAGACAACATGGGTTTACTTCAGGGAGATCATGCCAAACTAATCTTATTGATTTTTTTGATTGGGTAACTAAAATTATAGATCAGGGTGGTGCAGTAGACATTGCTTACCTAGATTTCAGTAAGGCTTTTGACACTGTTGCACATAGAAGGCTTATCAATAAACTGCAATCTTTAACTTTGGATTCAAATATTTGAATGGGTAAGGCAGTGGCTGAGTGACAGGCAACAGAGGGTTGTAGTTAATGGAATATATTCGAAGCTTGGACTTGTCACCAGTGGGGTACCTCAGGGATCTGTACTTGGACCCATTCTCTTTAATATTTTTATTAGTGATATTGCAGAAGGTCTTGATGGTAAGGTATGTCTTTTTGCTGATGATACTAAGATATGTAACAGGGTTGATGTTCCAGGAGGGATAAGCCAAATGACAAATGATTTAGGTAAACTAGAAAAATGGTCAGAATTGTGGCAACTGACATTTAATGTGGATAAGTGCAAGATAATGCATCTTGGACGTAAAAACCCAAGGGCAGAGTACAGAATATTTGATAGAGTCCTAACCTCAACATATGAGGAAAGGGATTTAGGGGTGATTATTTCTGATGACTTAAAGGTAGGCAGACAATGTAATAGAGCAGCAGGAAATGCTAGCAGAATGCTTGGTTGTATAGGGAGAGGTATTAGCAGTAGAAAGAGGGAAGTGCTCATGCCATTGTACAGAACACTGGTGAGACCTCACTTGGAGTATTGTACACAGTACTGGAGACCGTATCTTCAGAAGGATATTGATACCTTAGAGAGGGTTCAGAGAAGGGCTACTAAACTGGTTCATGGATTGCGGGATAAAACTTACCAGGAAAGGTTAAAGGATCTTAACATGTATAGCTTGGAGGAAAGACGAGACAGGGGGGATATGATAGAAACATTTAAATATATAAAGGGAATCAACACAGTAAAGGAGGAGACTATATTTAAAAGAAGAAAAACTACCACAACAAGAGGACATAGTCTTAAATTAGAGGGACAAAGGTTTAAAAATAATATCAGGAAGTATTACTTTACTGAGAGGGTAGTGGATGCATGGCATAGCCTTCCAGCTGAAGTGGTAGAGGTTAACACAGTAAAGGAGTTTAAGCATGCGTGGGATAGGCATAAGGCTATCCTAACTATAAGATAAGGCTAGGGACTAATGAAAGTATTTAGAAAATTGGGCAGACTAGATGGGCCGAAAGGTTCTTATCTGCCGTCACATTCTATGTTTCTATGTTTCTATGTTAACCACAACGTTCTAATTGGGATCAATAGGTTAACCAGCAGCACACTTCTCTTCTGGGTGGCTGTCCGTTCGGTAGTTTCATTCAGCGGAAAAAGTAAATTCACTGAACAGAGGCATACGAATGGGTAATTCCCCGAGAAGGCAAAAACAGGCAAACAGACGAATCCAGCAACCAGTCTCTACCCAGATGGATCTGTCACAGACTCGTTTTGTGGGAACCAGGGTATCCTAGCTAGACTAGAGCTAGTGGGATTGCTTTATATTCACAGGACTCTGGTGGTCTGCTGAATATAACATTCAAGCGGTCCAGCCTTCAGCTAGCTTGGAGGTAACCCTAACAATTGGTGGCAGCGGTGGGATCTTCCTGGAGTTCCTAGGAGAGATACAGAGCGCTTATGACAAACTAAAACGCACCATGTTAAAGGATCTACTAGAAAGCCGAGGTGGGAACGCTAGCAACTGACCTAGGAGGGAGCTGATCGCAGAGCTGACAGAACTGGATCAAAGCCTGACCATGACGGAGACCCCGATGTCCGCTAGTGAGGAAAAGAACCAGATTGTTCGGGAGAGGCTCTCCTGGTTCGGCCTGAACCCGACCGTAGAGCTGATACAGCAAACCATGGCACAGGTCGATGTAGAGATCCGAGAGGCCAGAGCACACGAGATGAACTTAAACCCACCCCAGCAAAACCCCGCGGCAGGGATGGCAGTGGACCCGGCAGAAAGGGCTGGGAAGCCAAAGATTCCCCATGCAGCGTTCCGATGATTCCTAGAGAATGAGATGGGGATCGATGAATACCTGGCCGACTTTGAAAGGCAATGTGCACTTCATCGGATACCCAGCGAGGATTGGCCCACTATCCTGTCAGGGAAGCTATCAGGCTGAGCCCTAGATGCATTTCGGACACTGTCTACCGAGGAAGTGACACATTATGACCGGGTTAAAGATACATTATTACAAAGGTATGCAGTAACCCCAGATACGTATGGTAGGCAATTCAGGAGCATGAAAAAGAAGCTGAACGATACGCATACCGAATGGGCTCATCGGATGAGGAGAGCAACCGATCACAGGATGAAAGGGTGCCGAGCCGTACCGGTTGAGGAAGTATTACAATTATTTCTTTTAGAACATTTCTACAATGGGGTAGATCAACAATGCAAAGAATGGCTCCATGATCGTAGACCCACTACCCTCACGGAGGCAGCTACGCTAGCTGACGAGCATTGTGACTCACGACTGCACGAAAGTAACAACTACCGGCCAACGATTCCTACGGAAAACCGAGAAACCTACCGAACGCTGGCACGACCAGACTTCAGGGCTCCCGTATCCGCAGGATCTACCAGGCATCTGGGACCACTGGGTGGCAATACTACCGAACGCCCACGACCAATCTGTTACCGGTGCAAACAACCGGGCGATCTCATGGCAAGTTGCCCCCTCAACAACCACCATCAAAACCCCAGGATTTATAATAATTCCACGGGATCATCCCAGCCCGCCAGGGCTCTATGTGTTAACCAGGGGGGTCCCATGGAAGAATACCTGGGACCTCTCCATGAGGCCGACCCCGTATATGCTGCCTCCGACAACCGCCAACATCACAGGCAAAAGGTATGGCTCGAGGGTCACTCCACTGAGGGACTGAGAGACACTGGAGCTACCATAACTTTGTACCAGAGCACAAGCGTTCCGGACAAACCATGGCCGTTCGAGTGGCTGGGGGAGACATATACAAAATTCCAACCGCTAAGGTCCATTTGGATTGGGTGGCGGGAAAAGGCACTGTGAACTCGGGATTATGGATTATTTACCAGCAGAGGTATTATTGGGCAATGATCTGGGACCTATGACCTCGGCTTACGCACCGACCCTGACTGCCCCGTCAGACACCATACCCTGGGATACTCCCGGCACCTTTGAACACGAATCCAAATCTGACCCGACCTTGCAAAAGTATAGGCAAAAAGCCGACTCTGGAAGGGGGGGGCTAGATAACGAGACATTTGGATGGGAGAAAGGGAAACTGTACCGGTTAACTGAAAAGAAGGGACAACATAGGCGACAATTGGTAGTCCCGTACAAATACCGTCAGGAGATACTCAGGATAGGACATGATATTCCCTTAGCAGGACACCTGGCCGTAACCCGCACCCTTCGCCGTATTACCCATACCTTCTTCTGGCCTGGGGTTTACGTAGATGTGCGGACCCATTGCAGCACATGCGATGTGTGTCAACGCATAGTAAGGAGGGGAGACCATCCTAAGGCACACTTAATGAATATGCCCATTATAGAAGAGCCATTCAGCCAGGTTGCTATTGATTTAGTGGGGCCACTGGCTACCCCTAGTCCCTCCGGTAAACGGTATATTCGGACCATAGTGGACTACGCTACCAGGTATCCTGAAGCGGTGGCTCTACCTAACATTCAGGCAGACACTGTAGCTAACGCGTTAGTGCAGGTCTTCTCTCGGGTGGGGTTTCCCAAGGAAATCCTATCCGACAGAGGCACTCCGTTTACTGCCGAATTAACCCAGCAGCTCTGGCATGTGTGTAAGGTTAAATCGCTTCTCAGCACCCCTTATCATCCCCAGACGAACGGGCTCTGTGAGAGGTTCAACGGGACCCTTAAACAGATGCTAAGAACTTTCGCTCAGGAGTATAGGGATTGGGAACGTTTCCTACCGCACCTCCTGTTCACATACAGGGAGGTGCCCCAGGAAACGACAGGGTTCTCTCCCTTCGAGCTGCTATACGGACGCCAGGTACAGGGACCCCTAAACCTGATCCGAGAGCACTGGGAGGGGGAGACCGAGAATGCCGGGGTCCCCATCGTACCATACGTGCTGGAGCTAAGAGACCGAATGGAGCAATTAGCCAGGTCGGTCCAGGCTAATCTCCAGTCGGTTCAGCGGAGACAGAAAGTATGGTATGACCGGGGCGTCTGAACCCGGAGCTTCACCATAGGACAGAAGGTGCTGGTACTTAAACCCGTCAAGGCAGACAAACTACAAGCTGCCTGGCAAGGGCCATACCAGATAATAGAAAAGAAGGGGGACACTACCTATATCATAGCTAGTTGCCATGATGAAAACTTGAGAAAAACATTTCACATAAATATGCTCATGGAATATCTAGAGAAGCCCGAGAATGTGACAGCCATCTGCATTCCCCCTCACGAGGACCCAGACAACCTTCCTATCCCAGACTTGCTAGAAAGAAATCCCCACTCAAACTTAGTGGCACAGGTCCAGATCAGGGACCGACTTAATGATGAGGAGAGGGAACAATTGAGCCAATTACTCCACGTTAAAAGCACTACATTCTCCCAAGAACCCAGGTGCACTTACCTAACCACCCATCAGGTAGACACCCCAGGGCAGCCACCCCTAAGACAGACCCCTACCGAATTCCTGAAGCCGTACGG